TGGATTTGGACTAGAGATGGTGCAAACTTTTAACACTGAAAGTAATCAACCATTGGAACAATTTATAAGGGTTGTGATGAATTCACCATCACTTGCAGTCTTTAAGTCATGCCATGGTACCTTGCAAAAAGAGAGTATGTACCTTACTTAGAAGCTATAGAGGATGTGCAGAAATTATTTGATGTGGTCAGTGGAGATGCACAGAATGGTTCTTTCTGGCCTTTATAATCTATCACTAGAAAACTCTCATTTGGTCTTCTCCAGAACAATCCATCTAAAGCTCTTGGAATGAAGTCAGAGAAATAATCCTGGTTATGGAATTCAAGGTGATGGGAATTTTGTTCATAGTAAATCCACAAAAACCTCCATCAAATTTCCTTATTGTAATCAGCTAAGCATGGATGTCAAACAAGTGGCATATACAAGAACAGAACACATTATTGTATGATAGGAGGTGACTGACTGAAATCCGGACCAGCAGGTGCTCCTATCATACAAAAAATGGATTGGACAGTAATCACATAATGAGAGAGCCTCTGTCCAGAACAATGTGGAATCTAAATGAACAAGACAGTAGGAGGGGAAACAGAGGCACTGAGAAGTTCTATGCCTGGGTGAGACGATAATCTGCTGTGGCCTTAACCAGAGTTCACAGTTGGTTAGCACCTCAACCAGACAGAGAATCCAAGTATCCTGAGTCCAAGTCCAGGGCCCTGCTGACTAGATCATGCTGTTCTCTCCTGTGGAAACCGTCCCCCTTTCACTCATCCCTCCGAAAGGGGTTTTTTGGTAAAGGACTCCAGGAAGCAAGAGCTCTGTGGTTTGACAGAGTGTGACAGAATAAACTGAAGAATTAATTTGGATTTTTTGGTTTTGGATTTGGGTTTGGTCCAGACATTAATGCCCCAAATCCATTCTCCTGTGGTAAATCCAGTGTCCAGTAAAGCTGCTCCATCTGCATCACTGTGAAGAGAAGGAAAAAAATCTGGTAGCATCAGAGACATCGATGGTCTTGTTCATGCAGCTTGTTCAACTATAATACTTCATGGCTCTTCTTTCATGAGGGAGGTCTTCCTGGAATGACTGTATTAAAGAAGGCTGCACTTCTTCCCAGTTAATAAAGATCACATTTTCTTCATTCTGTATTGTGCACATTTTATTTCTAGCACTGAGGCTGGTAAGAATAATGCAGAGAAAAAGCATATGGAAGTGTTAGAATGACTAGAGGTGAGGAGATATGCTGTTTGCAATAAGGGCTGTTGTGCCTATTTAGAGACATGTTAGGGATGTGAAAAATGTTAACAAAAAAAATTAACTGTGTGTTACTGATGGAAATTCCATTGGTTACATTGTTAAACGGGCTCCTGGCTATCTGCCCCAGATCCCAGTTTCAGCTCTTCCCTTAACCCAGCATTTCTCAAACTGTGGGTCCTGACCCCCTGGAGGGTCACGAGCAACTTAGAGGGGGATCGCAAAGAATTTAGAGGGGGGTCGCAAGCAGCTGAGTGGCTGGTTGCAGCAATGGAGAGGGGGGTCGCAAGCAACGGAGAGGGGGGTCGCAGTATCACAAGTTTGAGAACCCCTGCCTTAGCCCTATGTCTGGCTTCGATCACCACTCCAGCCACTAGAGCCCTTTTCTCACTCCTCTGCCTGCCTGAGGGTTGCGAGAACCTTTCCAACTAGGAAAGAAAGGAGCGGCAGGTAGGATGATAGGTTCATGTGGAATTCTAGAACTGCAACTGGGAGACCTAATAGAATGCCTTTGCACTGGGTCCCTTATTTGATTGAATTTGGCCTTGTTTGTGATTAAGCGTGAGTGTCACACTCTTCCTTGCTTATTATTCAGGAAGATCTTCTTTCAAGCAAGCTGTCTTGTGTGTGTTCCGCAGGCCCTTGAGCATATGACTTTGGTGCAGTCATACTTTTGGTAGCCTGGCAGATAAGCAAACATGCGCTCATACCAGAAAACCTGAAGAATGTGCATCCATTTTAAATGTCCCCAGCTTGAGTCCTCTCCATCCGTGTTAAAAGTGGTTGATGCAGCAGAGTTATGCAATATAATGCCACTGCACTTGAGAGCTCAAATTAAATATAAATCCTTATCATTTACAACCCTGAGAGATGAATTTTCATGCTTAAACATGAAACAGCACAAAGTCATATAGTGATGGATTGAAGTTGGTTATAACACATTCTTTTAATCTAGTTGATCACGTCTCTGTGCCCTTTGTGAGATAAAGATTTCAGAAAATAGCACTGTATTTTTCTTTTTCATTCTCTTTCCTATTTGTTCTTCAAAACAATAAAGTTTATTTAAATCAAGAGGGGGGGAGGGGGGAAGGTGTTTCCTCCTTGAGGTAGCAGAAAATAGCAATCCATTCAGCCCTTGGTGGGGTTTTTTTTCCTCTGTCCCTTGAAATCAATAGATCTAGATGGATAATTTAGTATTTAAATTAAAAATAACACCTTTTTCTAGTGAAGAGAACACGCATCTCTTTTCCTAAAATGTAAGTGAATTTTTGTGTGTGACATATTTGCCAGTAAGTGAATGTTTGCAAGCCTAAAAGAAATATATGGCATTCAAATTTCATAATTTATTTTCTTTCAGAAGATGCCTCATTTTTGTAAAAGAGGGTTCATAGAACATGTAACTTGGTTCTTCGTACTATGTACAAAGGAAATAGTGACCATTTATGTCTCAACTTTATGTAAATACATGGGGTAGTAGCATATGAACTGATGCTTCATAAATTAAAATCCTGTTTGTTCCTTTATATTACCAACAAAATCTAATTTGAACAATTTAGCATGTCTCAAACAAGGGGAAAAGACCATGTCCCCTTTACCTTACACAAGTACATCCTTGATGGACAGGAGAGCAAGTAAGTTGGATGGTAGGCTGTGTCTTTGGCACTGGGTATCTGGTAGCTCTCAAAGACTGACTGACCTGTCCATTCTGTGGGGTAGAAGCCACCCTCCTGCCCCCTGAAATGATTCAATGTCTGGCATATGGATTTATGATTTTGACTGACCTTTATGTGGGATGTGCTCATATAGGGGATGATTTGGCCCTTAAACAGCACTTTTCTTGAGATTAGGGTTGCAGGCTTTGAAACAAAAATGCTAACACAGTGACTGGCAGATCAGCGGGTCCAGTTCACGCTTTTTGCCCTTCCCAAACATGAAGAACAAAACGATTTTGCTTTTTGAAAACAGCAGATTTAATTGTGCCAGATTTTTTTAACACTTCCTGTAAGAAAGATCTCCTAAAAGGGCTCCTTTTATTTCAAATGACGCAAGCTGAATGCAGGGTGGCGCTGCCATTATACTTGGCATGATTTTCTGGAACAAAATATACAAACTGTAGCTCCATACACATGTGTTTTACTCATTGCAATTGCCATTCTTTTTGGTGATGGTTATGGAAAACATTTTTGTTTAAAGGAAAAAATAAATGACTAGATTTCCCCCAATCTCAACCCTTTACCTTTTTGTAGCCCTAGTCCACATAGCTCTAAGAAGAGATTATTTATAGTTGATCTATCCGATGCAATGAAATCCTGAATACTAGAAGAACAGTGCTTCAGTGAGCAAAATTCTAATTATGGTAAATGTTATGTTTATCTTTTGCTTTTATGGTTACCCCGAGTAAAATGTAATAGGTGAGCAGACAGTACTCAGAATTTGTTCATTTGAAATAATAAGCACTGTATGTAACCTTCATTTTTTTTCTTTTAGTCTACTAGTATGACTAGGGTTTGTTCTTGTTATGAAGATAAATGAGCTGAACCAAAGCTTATCTGCAGTGTTACTGCAGATGTCATTGCTAAGTTTGACCTTTATTGCCACTCAAGTTTTCAGTAACAAAGAATAAGTTGAGGAATAATGTTAATGCTTATTCAGAACACTCAGTGCAGATATTTAATCCCCACGATGTCATTTTGTGGTAGGGGTGTGTTTGATATAGTCTATAGTAAATAGAGAAAATGACAGAAAGAGGGTAAAATGACACAATTAATCAGTGCAGAGCTGGACTTTGAACTCTTGTATGCCAGTCCTGTGAGCTAAACACTAGGCAACAGGCCTTTTCTGGGAATGAACAATGCTTGTTAATTGTGTTAGAAATATATTTTCAAAACTCCCTTTTTCGGTATAAAACTCCTTAGACCCCAAAGAACAGTTTCCCAGAGAACTCACTGGTTTTTTAAAGTAAAATCCTTAACAGTCCTATTTGCTACTTCAGAAAATTATTGATGCAGTTTTGCTAGTTTATAAGGAGTCCTGTAGCACCTTATAGACTAACAGATTTATTGGAGCATAAGCATTCGTGGGCAAAGACCCACTTCTTCAGATGATGACTCCAGGACTCCTTGTCACTTTTGCGGATCCAGACTACCCCTCTGATACTTGAGTTTTGCTAGTGAGAAGCAGGACTAATAGGGACGGAACCATTGAACCTGTCTGTGCAGTTGGAATGTAATGATGATATGCCCATTTGGGTTTACAGCTCTCCTTTCTCTTTCATCAAGTGTTGTACTGTTAAATTAGGTCACCGCATATATTGCATGTTAAATAAGAAGACACACTTTGTGGTAATATAGAAGAAGACAAAGTGTCAGTTCTTCAAGCCAGCAACAGTTACTGGAAACCTATTTTATTAATGTATCCCTCACAAATGTATCTTGTGTGTTCATATTTCTTGATATTTGAAGTCACATATGAACACTCTAATCCAGTTTTTGTTCTCTATTGATCTAGTCTGCTGAAAATTGTGGCATCTGGGATAAATAGAACCAATGGTCTAAATTCTCTTCTGCAATCTTACAGATGTCAATAAGTTTTCAGAAGTGTAACAGGAGAAAATTTGGACCCAAATACCCAGTGGACATGGACATCTATGATTAGTGGAAATTGACCATTTTCTAATAGAAAAAATTTACAACTTTTCTCTAGAAAAGGAAATATTTGTGTGTTAAAGAAATTTAAGTTAAAATCATATATTTACTAAGGCGAGATTCAAATACAGATAGACTTGGAGTAAGAAACTCAAAGCTTCTGAGTCTTATTTTGAAAAGCAGAAAGTCTTGGCTGTTGCTGAAGGAAAGTGAGCTGACAGCTTTGACTTTCTTTATTGCACCACAAGCAGTGTCCCAACCCTAAACATGTTCACCCAAGACCAGTGTGATAGGTGTGTGGTTCTTCCCAAAAACTGTACCACTGAAATATTTCCAACTCTTTTACATCTGTTAGGAATTCATTGGGACCCAGCTGAATTAATGGAGGAATGATGAGCTGATGGTGATGAATGATAATGATAATAATGTAGCTTTTTATATACTCCTGCTTTTCATCAGGACATGTGGAACGACTTTACCAAGAAGGTCAGTACTGATATCCCCTTCTTACAAACGGGGAAACTATGGAACAGGGAGATCAAGTAACTATTGCAAGGTCATCCTGCTGCTCAGTGGCAGAGAAAAGAATACTCAGGTCTCCGAGACCTAGTTAAGTTCTCAGTATGCTACGCTGGCTGTAGCTAGGGCTGCTTCACATAATTCTGACAAACCTGCAGCTACAGGGCTTCCCCATCTTACTAGATCCCACCAAGTAGGAGTGATGGCTACTAAGATGTTTATATCGGTGTCAGTGCCACCTGGTTTGGTGAACAGGCTGATTTTTGAGTCTTTGTGGAGATTTCTTGAAATCTTTGAGAGGACAAATACACATTTACTTCTTGACACATTAGTCAAGGACATATGTTCTTTCGGGTCTATGAGATTTCAGCCCTACCCCTAGCTGATTTGGTAGAGTTGCCTGAGGTAAGATAGAGTGAAGATAGTTATACATTGACTTTTGAGCCTTATGGGTGTAAAACTGAAAAGCTTTGTAGCCAGGTCCAGAGTTGTTGGAACTGGCCCTCAAAGGATTATTCCAGACACCCAAGTCAAAGAGGATTGATAGGTAGACTTTTCTCTCTTCTGTTCTCCTTGTTGCTTTGTTGATTTAAACTTTCCATCTGCTCTAGGAAGAGCCCTGTAAAAATGTATCACAGACCAAGAAATCTGATCTCTCACAAAGTCTGGTATTTTTTGTACTTTTGCCCTATACTCTATTCTGGACTGAAAGTGTACAGTGTTTCGCAAACTGGAGGCCCTACCCTAAAGGGACTGCAAGGCGATTGTAGGCCTTGTAATGTTGCCACCTTTATTTCTTCACTGTCTTCAGAGCTGGGCAACAGCAGGGAAGAAACTACTGGTGGCTGGTCATGTGTCCAGCTCTAAAGGCAGCACTGCTATCAACAGCAGTGCAGAAGTTAGGGTGGCACTGTATGATGTGGAGAAATTGGTAAAAATTATTATTTTTAGCTTCATACAATATATTCATATTACAGGCGACCCCCGACTTGTGACACGATTGGTTCCTGGGGAAGTGTTGCAAGTAGGAGGCATCGTAACTCAAACTCTCATTGACGATAGGTGTCATGTGCCGTCATAAATGCGGGCCAAGGATGTAAGTCAGGAGTTTTCGGCCCCTGCTGCACTTTAAAAATAGTTTAAAAAATAGTTGTATGTGTGGAGGGCCCCAGCTTGGGGGTTTCCTGTAATCTGAACGTTGACCATTTGCTACCCACCTTTTAGTTCTGGTTCATTACTGTGTCTTTAAGGAAGCCAGAAATCATTAGAAGACTTTTAGTAGAACTGAAGCCCAGCCATTGGTAATAAAAGTAACATAGCATCTTTCTTACAGAGGGACACTCAATTCATAAATTACAAAATATTTCAATTCAGGTGTATGATGGCAGATGTATAATGATAAAAACTTCTTTCTAAAACAGCAAATGATCTTTCTCAATTTGTATTACATGCAATTCAATATATGTCAATTTAGAGCATTCAAAGGGAAATTATGCTGAAATTTTAATACTTACAAAAGTGTTATGATGGAGTTGTCTCTTGAAGCTTGATTCTTTGAATTCATGTCTGATGGCAGTGTTGGATGTCTGTGAGAACAAGGGGGAATTTCACAAGCTATTGTAGATAACACCTAAATCTGGAATAAAGGAGGAGACTGAGTTTGAGAAGAGCTGGGTAGGGCAATTTTGTGTCTCCTTTGACTCTCTCAGCTCTGAATGAAAACCTTCTTTCTTCCTCTTCAGTTCCATTGAATATGACAAAATTCAGGCTTATGTAATGATTTTTAGATTAAATTCAATATCCACACCCAGCCTAAGTGGATTTCTCTGAATGACATTTCTATAATTTAATTAAACTACAGTAAATACTGAGAATAGCTTAAATGAAATTCCTTCAGAGGGTGTGAAGATACAAAGCAGCAAAATAATGTCTGTATCCTTCACATATTAAAATAATGGTTATTCTTTTTCGTTTTTTTTTTTTTTTTTTAAGAAAAGTCTTGGTTATCCTCCTTTTTGTTAATGTATAAGAAAACCTGTGGGAGGGCATGCAATATTACTATTAATGCTCTCAAGAAGATTTTATTTCTAAATGGGAAATTGTTTCTGATCTTGTTTCATGTATTCATGTATTAGGAGCTAGATCATAGCATTTTTTCCTTTTTGTCTATAAATGATATTTTGTTTAAATACCATATAACAAAATAGTTTCATTGTTTCGTAAATTTGGTTGCAATTCCTGTTCTGGATGAAAATAATTTTTGCTTGGATAAATAACTTGTATCCATGTAAAGAAGTGGGTTGTACCCACGAAAGCTCATGATACAATCTACATTTTTTGTTAGTCTCTAAGGTACTGCAGGACGACTTGTTTGTAAATGTTTTCAGCTACAGACTAACATGGCTATCCCTCTGAAATTTTTATGCAACATTTTGCTTGTCATCCAGTTACAGTGTTGTTAATATTGTGAACCTAAATGTGTTGCATAAAATGCAAGGATTATTTCTTACTGGAGGATTTATCTAGCATTGCTCTGGTCCTTACCTGGAATAATTTTTGTTTTTCTTCATTTAAATCATTGGTCGGATTGGGGCTGTGGATGAGGGGCTCAGTATCCAGGTTTCCACAGGAGAGAAGAGGGCAGAGAAGACAAACCTAGCCCTCGGTCACTGCTGCAGCAGGCACAGATAGCCACGCTCTCTGAAATATGTACCTAGCTGCCTCTTTTTCCACCCCAGTGGAGATATAGCTATCCTGGACCTTATCTCTGTCCCCTTGCTGTCCCCCATTATATAACTGTCCTTGCTAGAAGACCCTTCCCTTTCTGTTTTATGAGAAATAACCCTATTCCTGGTTCATTCCATTGTCTTTGCACAACCAAACCCTGACCTTGCTTTAAGTTATAAGAGGAAGCTACATTCCAAATTTGGTCCTGGCTCTAACCGTTTAGGAGGAGTTCTTAGACAGACACACAAACTCTCTCTCATATTGTAGATAGTAAGCAAAATCCATGCCAGCCCGTCAGATTGTTTACTTTCATATATGAAGAATGGTCGCAAATAGGGAAAATGGTTTTCTAACTTATTTTTTATTCAGTCATTTTCTGGAGACATTTAAAACTAGACTGGGCAAATACTAGAAAATGTACTGTAGGGAGTAATTTTGCATTAGTGGTTGGAGGAGATACATTAGATGTCTAAAAATATTTCCTCTATTGTCCCAATCCCTCTCAATTTCTGTGATTCTCTAGGGCTATGTCTAGACTGCAAGCCTCTTTCGAAAGAGGCTCTTTCAAAAGATACTTTCGAAAGAGCCTCTTTTGAAAGAGAGCGTCTAGACTGCACGCAGAACTTTCGAAAGAGCAAGCCGCTTTTTCGAAAGAAAGCACCCAGTGAGTCTGGATGCTCTCTTTCGAGGAAGCCCTATTTACATTCAAGAACGCCTTCTTTCGAAAGAAGCACTTTCGAAAGAAGGCGTTCTTCCTCGTGAAATGAGGTTTGCCGCCGTCGAAAGAAAAGCCGTGTTCTTTCGATTTAATTTAGAAAGAACGCGGCTGCAGTCTAGACGCAGTTGAAGTTTTTTCGGAAAAAGGCTACTTTTCCCGAAAAAACCCCTGAGTCTGGACACAGCCTAGGATAGTTTCTAAATGCTATTGGAGTAAGGGAATGGACTTTATTTTCTTTTTGTGTTGACTAAAATGTATTGTCATTGTCTTGATTTGGAGACACAGAGCATATGTCTCATTAGATTTTAAAACCAGAAGGGATCATCCAGTCTAATTTGCTGTATAGCCGAGGTCATATAATTTCACCCAGAAATTCCTAAATAAAAACCATAAATTCTAATTAAACTACAGCTTATATTTTAGAAAGACACTCAATCTTGATTTAAAGACTCAGTCCATTTCCCCAGTGTGCTTCACTCACGCACATACAGACAGCAGCCTTTGTCATACAAGCAGTACCTTTGTGGTCAGAGTGAGCTGAGGCAGCTCTTTTATCTTCTGCTACAAACAGTGTGTGTATAAGAGTACAATTATTTTTTGTGGTCAAAAGGAAGGGATGGCCTCCATTCATATTTGAAATCTGGCACCAGTACCTTACCTTACTGGTAAGTGTGTGTAGGCCTCAAGATTTCTGGGTAATAGTATTATGAACTAAAGCACATATTCAACCCTGCAAAGGAATTCTACAAAATCTGAAGAGAGAAAGAGACCCAAGATGTGGGATTTTTTAAAGAAATTCCTTTGTATTACTTTAGGCACTTTTGAAAATGTCGTCCTAGCCTAGAGACCTGTGTATGCATATGAACTTCTCTGTTTAACTCTTTTTTCCCTTAAAAAGAGACCTAGCTAGACTTAATTTTGTAGCTGAGTCCATTCAGGTGAACCTGATGTGTTTTGTGTGTGGTGTGTTGGGTTTTGTGAGGGTCTGCCCATATTACATCATTGGGGTCCTAATAAATAAGCAGATAGTGTTCTCTTATCATTTGATTCTTTAGCTATTTTCCACAATTAAATTACCTTTAGTATCCAAAAACAGCAAGTATAAGCAAGTGTCTTCTGCCTCTCTTAGCATCATTGGGTGAGACAATTTGTTAAAAGCACATACTTAGGTTCATATTTTAAGTGAGTTTACAAAAGCTGAGTGTATTTCTTAAATAAAGTGGCAGGTCATTAATCTTTTGAGAGCCATTCGCACACCATATTTGTAAACAGACATAAGCCTGATTTCATTAGCAGATTCTGGTAGCTCTTACTGTAAGTATGTGGTGATAGTCAACACAGAATGATGTTCCACTCTTAAATACTAATGCTTCTGAAGCTGGGTTATTAATAAAAATCTGTATAAAATTGATGGCTTTCTCAGGCCTCAACTAAAATGAAATTACCAAAAATGCTCTGTTTTCATGATAGATGGTATCACAGTGCTAGAATCTAAGGTAAAATGCCATGGGGGGGTTCATAA